CGCGGCCCGGCGGTGGTGTTGGCGGCGAGCGGCCGGGAGAGGGGCGGGGGCGCTGCAGGCCCGAGCCGCAGTGATTGGTCTCGGGGGAGGGTGGGGGGTTGCAAGCCCGAGGCGCGGTGGCATCCGTTGCATGATGCAAAAAAGGATCGATTTCAAAAGTTGCGAGTCGCACTGGCACGGCCGCGGGCCGGGCCGCCTCCTCTACGCCGCGCGGCGAGGCCCGCTGCACCGCATCTGCTCCTGAGCGGGGCGGCGCGGACGGAGTCCTAAATCGGCTCTGGCGACTCCTGTCGCTTCGCCCACCTACTGTTCAGCTCTGCTCCGGAGTCCTCGGGAGCTTCGGCGAAATATGCAAATGTCCTGCAGGGTGTCCGGTACGTGTACTGGGTATGGCAGGAAGCCCCAAGACGCCGAATTAGCCCTCGCGGCCTGGTTAACGTGGCAGCCCGAACCAGCGGGTCCGCCAGACCCTGGCGAGGCCGCCCGCCCCTGCAGACGACCCGGTGTGCGGCTTTCTAATGTATTGCGGATGCAAATGCTCCAACCCGATGCCCCCCAGCGTTTCCCTTAAAGCTGAGCAAGTTGGCGGCGTGCCCGACCAAACTTTTGAAGCGGATCAGCATTTTCCAGATCATCCGGGGAACAGAAATATTTTTGGGTATCGGAAGGGGGCATTATAAATGCTTTGAGGTTTGCACGCTGCAGATGTCCTCTTCCTTCTTGTAACTTGTTTGGCAGTTTCCTATGGTTTGAGTCAGCATGTGGACGCCAAATAGACACTGGCTCCTCCGGTCTTTGTGTCCTTTATCCATATGTTCAAGGAAATTCGGAAAGCACACAGCACCACCTAGGTTCTGGAGCAGGCACGCTGGATTCACCTGGGAATCGCCTGGAGACGGGACCGAGGCGTGCACAGTCACCTGACGTCCTCTCACAGGCCTGGGCTCCCCATCAGGAGAACAGAACAAAGAAACCTTAACCTTCACTATGTTAAGTCGATGGTGTTTTGGAAAATGTGAGGTTTTACTTATTCGTACTAGGAATCGAACTCACGATCTTGCTATTGCCAGGCAGGCGCTGTGCCACTGAGCTATATCTCCGACCCAGAAATTGAGATTTTCTTTTTTTTTTTTTTTTTTTTTTTTTGGCGGAACCAGGGATTGAACTCAGGCCCTTGCACTTGCCAGGCAAGCGCTTATTCTACTGAGCCCTCTCCTTGACTCAAGATTTTTCAGGAAAAAAAAAATTAACAGAAAAAAAATATTTTGCGGGTCAGCGAAGATAAACAGCCAAGATGAGCAGGACGCTTTGTGAACATTTGTTACACTGAGGAGTAATTTAGCTCGGTGACAACCCAGGATGCCTCTTGGGAAGGAAAATGAGCCTTACTTCTGATTAAGAGGTTGTTATACCAAGGAAGCCTTTATTTAGACTGAAGGCAAGGGTAACATCACCACAGGGAAAGGTGTGATTTGATTTAATGTGTGAAAGGGGGAAGAAACATAAGACTATCCCCAGATTTCCTTTTGAAGGGACTGGGTGAATAGTGATACCTCCGAGATAGGACTTACTGGGTGGCATATTTGGGGTGCGAGTTAAATTCCTAGCCTGCTGGCCATTCCAGGTGTTTTGGAATCCAGCTTGGAGTTTGAGATGCAGATCCGGGTGCCATCAGCATGTAAATGGAGTCAAGCCTTGGAGGGAGATGGGATTATCCTGGAGGGCTCAGAAACAAAGCAAAACAGACCTTGGACAGAGCTCTGCTGAACCCATAAATGGAATGTCGAAGAGAGCAGAAAGGCTGAGCCTGTGAGAAGCCAGAATGGCCAGAACCAATCCTTTCTGCAGCTACCCTAGCTGCAGCTCTGGAGTCTGCTTGTCTGTGTCTCTTGTCTCTTGCCCCTTTGGTTGGGGTGTGGGGGGGAGGTCGGGTGGCTGGGGATGGAACCAAGAGCCTCCTACAGCCTAGGGAAGCACTCTACCACTGAGCCCTGAAGCAGTAGCCCAACCTTTAGCCCTTGGCTGAGCTAGGACACTTAGATTCCTCTGGGGCCACTCCCTGGGTCCCATATAATCCTGTTGACCTCTGTTCCTACCTCCTTTTCCCTAGATGAAGTTACCCTGTGTGTTACTGCTTTACCCTCCCACTCCCCCAGTTGTTCCCCAGGGTTTCTTCCACTGACCTGTCTCAGTCCCCTAACCCCCACCTGAGAGTTCACCAGAACCCTATCTGGGGAGCCACCTCCCTTGGTTTCTCAGGGTCTTCTGGCTCCATCTAAGAGTTGGTTCCATTGGGTTGATTCCTTGGCTAAGGATTATAATAAATACCTATTTATCACCCTGTTATTTACATCTAGCAGGTATAATGGGTTGATTTGTGTATTCCCAAAAGATAATGTTGAAGTTTCATCCTTCTTATTACCTATTGATATAGGAGAAAGAAACTCCCAATCTGAATGATACCTGTCATGAGTTTGTGTTCTCTAAAACCAAAGAATGGATTTTAGGAACATGGAGGTTAAGAGCAGAATATATTTATTGGGAGAAAGAAAGCTTCTGAGAGACAGCAGGAGAGCTCAGTGGGTTGCCAGAGACCCTGGCTTTTCTAGGTGTTTTATAAAGCAAAACCATGAGGTGAGGCAGATTTAAGGTGGAAAACATGGGAACTCGATAGATGAACATGAGATGCAACAAAAAAACTGTGGTCAAGCAAGATTATAAATACAGCTGCTCAGGCAAGGGGACATGAATATAGGGCAGGGGCTTTCCTGTAGGGGTGGGTGAGTGGCTCTTCCTGGCTTTTCTTAAGGTGATTGATACCTTTTTAGAATATCAATCCCTGATGGCTAGCCCTAGGGAGGTATATGGCTGCATTTGTTTAATCTTTTGTCTTGAAGTCACCAAAAGCTGAGGTGCCTAACTCTCCCACCTTTGTGAGGTATCTAGCCTTCCATATTGGGTCCTTTGAGGGCCTAGCCCTAACTGCCTAAAATATTTCTAACTCAGCTGCCTGTAACACTATGAATATTGTTTTATCTTGAAATAGGGTCTTTCTAGGGCCGGGAAGACAGCTCAGTGGTGTAAGTGTCCACCTGGTAAGTGCAAGGTCCCAAGTTTGATCCCCAGTACCAGGGAAAAAAAAAAAAAGAAGAAATAGGGTCTTCACAGAAAGCTAAACTAAGACTGCTGTTTCTAATGTTCATTATTATCCCCAAAGTATGACCTGTTCTACACTGTACCGCATCCAAGACCAAATGCACTTTGTGTGTATGTGCAGTGCTGGGGATGTGATCCTGGGTCTCATGCTGGCCAAATACTGTACCACTGAGCCACATTCCCACCGCTAAGCAGATGAACCCTAAAGAAAATAATAGCTATCCTTAGGAAAAAGCCCCCTGGAACTCCTACCTGGACTCCCCTCCTTCCTCTCCATCAGAGTCAGTGTCTCAGAGGGGGACTGTGCTCTGCCAGTACCCCTCCACCAATAGCCCATTTCTGAGAACTAACTCTACTCTCCTTGTTCAGAGTGCTTCACAAACTTCCTGTCAGAATTCTCCCCACAGTCTCCTAAGGGGCAAAACTAGGAGTAGGAGTGCTTAAACACCTTGTCAAGATTATCAGGTAGTTAAAAAAAAAAGAAAAAAAGATTACCAGGTAGTTTAGATTTCCCCAAGCAGATCAACAAGGATAGGGGTATAGAGGTTAATTTGGAAATTGATCCCAGGAAATGTAAGTTATAAAATGAGAAAAATTATACCAAAAAAAAAAAGGAGGGGCCAGGGAGACGGCTCAGTAGAATAAGTGCTTGCTTGGCAAGCACAAGGGCCTGAGTTCAAACCCCAGTCCACCAAAAAAAAAAAAAAAAAGGAGAGAGGAAAAAGCAAAAGTATTGAAGACTGTGAACAATGTTATGACTAACATCTACAAGTCCCTCCCAAAACCTCATGTGCCTATAGGGGGGCTTTGGGGGAATGATTGGATCATGGGTGTATGATGCTGGATTGGTCCACTTATGGGCTTATCAAAGTGTGGATGATGGATCTACCAAGAAGGAAGACCTAACCTTGGTATGGGTGGCGCTAGCCATTAAGTGTGTAGACTGGATGGAATAAAAAGGGAAAGAAGTCATGCTGCTTCCTGTCTGACATGCCATGGTCTGTTTCTCTTCTGCCATGCTGTCTTGCCTTGGAGGCAGCCAACTATGGACTGAAACCTCAACAAACTGTGAGTCCAATAAGCCTGTCCTCCTTTAACTTGTGGGTGTCAGGTATTTTGTCCCA